TGTTCAGTTTCAGAGTGAAGAATAGTCTGGAGCGTGAGTGTTAAAGTGAACTGGCCAAGATGGCCGACCCCTGGCACAGCCAGGGCCCGTGACCGGATTCTAGGGTGGGGGGGGGTGCTGCCCTTTAAGGCCTGCTGAGCCAGTTTTGGAAGCTTTCAGTGCCGATCTCAGAGCAGGATGGCCCCATATGTTCAGCAAGGAGAAGGTGAGATGGATTTCAGGGGGTTAACATAGTGCTAAGGATTGGGTTCAGATTGTGAATAGGGCCAAAGGTTGGGGTTAAAGGTCACAGTCAGTGTTAAAGGTTATACCTAGCCAGTTTTGGATGGTGGGGGGTAGCTCCCCCTCACTTCCTGAAAATGTAACTGGGACAGGAAGTGGGCGGGGTTAGGAGGGTTTTCGGATGGCCATTTTTAGAGCTTACAGTACCCCCATGGGACAGTGCTTGGGCCTGGTAATTGGCCGCATGGACATTAACTACTGGAAGGTGAGAAGGTGATGTACTGTACAGTCACATGACCTTTCTCCTGACCTGTCATGGCTGCCCCCTGTGTGTTTCATCCCATAATCCTCTGGGGTTGGATACTGCCTGACACAGGACACCTGAGAATCGCCGCATTCTGCATCCCTTCTACATCCATGACATATAATCCAGTATAAAGAGGCACGCTCTGCGTCCTATGAGCACAGCTCATAAATCTTGCGGCTGTGAGCTCTCCTCAGGGGACGGTTGTTGCAGAATCAGAGCGATGATTTATTTTGTTGTAACATCGCAGTGTCAGCTTCTATTCCTGCATACAGCGGAGACTCTTAACACTTTAGAGTCGGCGGACTGGGGACCCGAGGCCTAAAAGTGACCCTGTCAGTAGCATGGCAGCAGTGCAAGGAACCGCTGATCTCCTCTCATTTCCTGTCTCTAAATACAGGAAGTGAAGAGCAATCACCCTAAAGGGGACACATGTAAGAAAAATCCTAACAGATCCCCACTCCATCCAAAAAACGAACAAAACATTGGGAAGATGATCTTACTGGTGATCAGGGGCGGACTGACAACTCATGGGGCCGCCGGGCAATAGGGGATCATGGGGCCCCTGTGTCCTTGCCCAAACTCAAAAAAGCCTATGAAAAAGGTACCAGGGGCATCTCATGGGGCCCCCTACTGACCCCGGGCCCTCGGGCAGTGCCCGAGTTTCCAAATGGTCAGTCCGCCCCTGCTGGTTACTGTAATGTATCTGAACTCTCGCCACACCCGCAGATTGTTCATTACCAAACGAGGTGCCACCCGGAGATCACAAATCACACCGCACAGCACTCTTCACAGATACATATCGATTACCGATCATAGAAATAATGTGCCGGCTATATACTAATCTACAAGTGTCTGAATCATGATAGGAACGTATATCTCATTATTAGTATATATCATTCCAGCACAGAGCCCCCGCCATAAATACCAACTCAAGTCCCGCCCACGTTTATGTGTATCAGCTCCTCCTGTTATATTCTCTGTAATATATAATACATACATGTCCAAGGATGGTGGGAACCCCTCATAATGGGCACAGGGATGGTGGGAACCACTCATAATGGGCACAGGGATGGTGGGAACCCCTCATAATGGGCACAGGGATGGTGGGAACCCCTCATAATGGGCACAGCAGGGGTACAGACCCGGGAACTCAGCACAGGGATGGTGGGAACCCCTCAAAATGGACACAGCGGGTATACAGACCCGAGAACTCAGCGACTCTGAAGAATGGAAGGACCGCTGGCAGCTGGATACCTGTACTGGTGTTATAGGCAGGGAGCAGGAAAGAGTGACACCGACTTTCACATGTCCACGGTTCCCTATAACGGAGTCCCTGGCGGGAGGTGGGCTCCTCTTCCTTTATCCTCACACATGAAACGGTGCGTCTTCAGGGAGATCAGCGTCCTGTATTGATCTTTCCTGATATTTGAACTGTGGAAATGTCAGGTCACAAGGTTAGCCAGCTGGAAGAACATTTGAAATAATCTGTGGCTGGCGTCTTATGAATTATGTATGGTAGAGAGATCGCCGCACTGATGGCAGCCGGACCGCCTCGATTACGGCAGGAGAATGATTTTCATTAATTGAACCAAAATCATTGTATTTGTCCTGATTGCCGTGTAACCATTGATTTGTTCCTGGAAGGATCCATTTTGCAGATTGTTTTCCCATCAGTTTAACCCCTTCCTGCCTGCATTCGTTATGTACCCAGATTCGGTTTTCGGGGTTGCGTTTATAAACAATGTAAAAGCAAGCAGCAAACATTTGGCGCAGGTGATGGCTCTCAATCCCAGCTGTCGCTGACAGTTGGGAACCAATCAGAGCAATCTATGTAGGTTGACAAAAATATATATTTAAATATATACAAGTACAAGGAAATGAGAACAGGATCTCCAAGTCTTACGATAAAGTTTGTTTTACTTCAAAAATTCATCTTCATACAAAAGTAGCACGACTGCGCAGTGTCAGGCAAAGCATCGCTCTTCATCAAGCTGCAGTTCTATCACCATTGAACCGTTCTATATACAAAAGACAGGGTGTGACTGCACAGGTGTGTCCCCTACAAACTGCACCAGACAATCACTTCTAAGCCTCCAGAATACAACATTCTCATACAATCTCACAAATCATTATACATTTCTACAAAATAATTATTTACAAAACTAACAAAAAGTAAACCTATTTATATAATTAAATATATAACCATCAACATAAGTTCCACAATATAAAGGGGGGAGAGAGAGGGGGATGTGATAGAGAGAGAGGGGGGGGGAGAGAGGGGGGGGGGGGGAGTGATAGAGAGAGAGAGGGGGGGGAGAGAGAGGGGGGGAGAGAGAGGGGGGGAGTGATAAGAGAGAGAGGGGGGGATAGAGAGAGAGAGGGGGAGGAAGTGAAAAGGAGAGAGGAGGGGGGATTGAGATTGTGAGGAGAGAGAGAGAGAGGCAGAAAGAGGGTGTGAGAGAGAGTGGGGGGAGTGTGAGAGAGAGAGGGAGGGGAGGCAGAGAGAGCGGGGGGGGGGGGGGGTGTGAGAAAGAGTGGAGAGGGGGGGTGAGAGAGAAAGGGGGAGAGAGAGGGGGGGGATGAGAGAGAGAGAGAGAGGGGGGGGGGTGTGTGAGAAAGAGGGGGAGAGAGGGGGGTGAGAGAGCAAAGGGGGAGAGAGAGAGGGGGGAGCGAGAGAGAGAGGGGGGGGGGCAAGGGAGCAAGGGGGGGAGAGAGAGAGAGGGGGGAGCAAGAGAGAGGAAGAGAGGGGAGTGAGAGAGAGAGAGACGGGGGTGCGAGAGAGAGGTAGGAGTGGGGGAGAGCAAGAGGGGGGATAGCAGAGAGGGGAGAGAGGGGAGAGTGTGAGAGGGGGCAGAGGGGGGAGTGTGAGGAGAGAGAGAGGGGGAGTGTGAGAGAGAGAGGGGGTGAGAGAGAGAGTAGGAGGAGGAGAGAGAAGAGTGAGGGAGCAAGAGAGGGGGATAGAGAGAGTGAGAGAGAGAGAGAGGGGGAGTGTGAGAGAGAGGGGGGGAGAGAGAGCGAGAGAGGAGGGGAGTGAGAGAGAGCAAGAGGGGGGGAGTGTGTGAGAGAGAGGGGGGAGTGTGAGAGAGGGGGGGGAGTGTGAGAGAGGGAGAGGGGGGAAGTGTGAGAGAGAGCAAGAGAGGGGGTTTGAGAGAGAAGGAGGGGGAGAGAGATCTTTTTATTTATTTATTTTATTAGGTGTAGGGTGATTGATAGGTTGACAATACATAAGACTGAAGCTGCTGAATTGGGTCTGGGCCTCTAGGCATCAATACCCTCTGGTCATGAAAGGGTTAATTGAACCGTCCTGTATATTGAATACCTTTCTGTAGTGTGCTATGGAGTCTGACATAGATCAGCCTCTTACCTTGTTACAAAGTCACAATGTACAGGGGAAAGGAGACTGAGCAAATGCCTCCACCAGCCTGCAGCAGACTGATGACATCATCCCAGCCTAGGCAAAGTTACAATGTACAGTCTGATCACTGGGGGAGGGGAGACTGAGGAAATGCTTCCTGCTGCCTGCAGTAGACTGCTGACATCATCTTAGCCTAGGCAGAGTCACTACCTGGAGCTCATGGATGTCTTGTTAATGATGAGAGGTGGAGCTTTGGTGAACATTGATGCTCTGTGTACACTTTGTGACGTGTCAGGATGTATTCATGAAGACTTGTTATGTCATTGACAGGTCCCCTTTAATGAGGGTATTGTCCATGTGAGGCAGGTTTTGGGGTGTTGTAGACCGTTTGGACAGGGAAGATCTTTGTTTCCGTGGCGATTAGACGTGGAGTCTCCATGGAGTAGTATAAATCTCTCCTAATGACTTTCTTAAGCAAAAAAAAAAAACCTTTAAAATAATTGTGTGGTGTAATTAGCGCGGTCATTACCCAGAGTTCCCGGCACCGCCTGCTGCGTGTACATTGATAGGGGTGGTGGGTGTGTCCTGTGGTTGGGACCTGGATGTACAGTATATATATATATATACACGTCTTGTGTCGGGATCCCTCCATACACACACAGTGACATCTCATCGGTGACAGACCTGCCCTGGAGCCTCAATTTGTCACATTTTATCTCGGCTTCATTCATTTCTGCTCCGGCTTAGAAAAACTGTTCAAAACATCGCGTCTGCACAGCGGGGGCCACAGGGAGCCTAGGCCATGTCTGCTGAACAGCGTGCTGCCATCCTTCACAAGGGGGGCTGGGGTCAGTGTAGGGACATCAATGTCATGTACCCCCCCAGGGACTGCGGCCACTCCTAGGAGACACAGCAATAGCTGCAAGTATCATCTGCCTGCTATATGTGTAATGGAGGCGCACCAAGTGCTGTGCATTGTAACCAATCACCATACAAACATCCTGATTGCAGCTTAAAGGACAACTCCACCCGCAGGATACAGTGGGAGGGGCAGAGACACAGGCTACTGGGGGGAATCTCCCATTGTGGGAGGGGCAGAGACACAACTACTGCAGGAAATCTCCTCATTGTGGGAGGGGCAGAGACACCAACTACTGCAGGAAATCTCCTCATTGTGGGAGGGGCAGAGACACAAACTACTGCAGGAAATCTCCTCATTGTGGGAGGGGCAGAGACACAAACTACTGCAGGAAATCTCCCCATTGTGGGAGGGGCAGAGACACAAACTACTGCAGGAAATCTCCCATTGTGGGAGGGGCAGAGACACAGGCTACTGGGGGGAATCTCCCATTGTGGGAGGGGCAGAGACACCAACTACTGCAGGAAATCTCCCCATTGTGGGAGGGGCAGAGACACCAACTACTGCAGGAAATCTCATTGTGGGAGGGGCAAAGACACAAACTACTGCAGGAAATCTCCCCATTGTGGGAGGGGCAGAGAGACACAAACTACTGCAGGAAATCTCCCCATTGTGGGAGGGGCAGAGACACAGACTACTGCAGGAAATCTCCCCATTGTGGGAGGGGCAGAGACACAAACTACAACAGGAAATCTCCCCATTGTGGGAGGGGCAGAGACACAAACTACTGCAAGAAATCTCCCCATTGTGGGAGGGACAGAGACAGACTACTGCAGGGAAATCTCCCATTGTGGGAGGGGCAAGACACAGACTACTGCAAGAAATCCCCCCATTGTGGGAGGGGCAGAGACACAAACTACTGCAGGAAATCTCCCCATTGTGGGAGGGGCTGAGACACAAACTACTGCAGGAAATCTCCTCATTGTGGGAGGGGCAGAGACACAGACTACTGGGGGGAATCTCCCCATTGTGGGAGGGGCACAGACTACTGCAGGGAAATCTCCCCATTGTGGGAGGGGCACAGACACAGACTACTGCAAGAAATCTCCCCATTGTGGGAGGGGCAGAGACACAAACTACTGCAGGAAATCTCCCCATTGTGGGAGGGGCTGAGACACAAAAACTACTGCAGGAAATCTCCTCATTGTGGGAGGGGCAGAGACACAGACTACTGGGGGGAATCTCCCCATTGTGGGAGGGGCAGAGACTACTGCGGGGAATCCTACAGATGAAGTGCCTGCATACATGGTGGAATATTTTCCAGCAGAAGGAATATGTAGGGACTGATGGGGATGTGAACACACAAGATGGATAAAGTCTCCTCTCAGATCCTGACTTGGACATATGAACATTGAATGCCTCTCTTCTCTGTTACTCTTCAGCGTGTTTTGCAGAGACGGCAGGTTGTACACGGTAAGTGGCGCCCAGTCCTCATGCCATCTGCTCCTCGCCTCGCTGATTATATAAGAGCGTTTACCTGCTAAATACTAAAAATATCCCAGAGATGGAGGAGAGCAGCACTTCAGTGCTCACTGGACTACATACGGCGAGTCTCTCGGGTGGCTGAACCGCCTTTCATCCATGTGTACGGCAACATACAACCCTTCCACAGTCCTTGTATACGGCAACATACAACCCTTCCACAGTCCTTGTGTACAGCAACATACAACCCTTCCACAGTCCTTGTGTACGGCAACATACAACCCTTCCACAGTCCTTGTATACGGCAACATACAACCCTTCCACAGTCCTTGTGTACGGCAACATACAACCCTTCCACAGTCCTTGTGTACGGCAACATACAACCTTTCCACAGTCCTTGTGTACGGCAACATACAACCCTTCCACAGTCCTTGTGTACGGCAACATACAACCCTTCCACAGTCCTTGTGTACGGCAACATACAACCCTTCCACAGTCCTTGTGTACGGCAACATACAACCCTTCCACTGTCCTTGTGTACGGCAACATACAACCCCTCCACAGTCCTTGTATACGGCAACATACAACCCTTCCACAGTCCTTGTGTACGGCAACATACAACCCTTCCACAGTCCTTGTGTACGGCAACATACAACCCTTCCACAGTCCTCGTGTACGTACACAACATACAACCCTTCCACAGTCCTTGTGTACGGCAACATACAACCCTTCCACAGTCCCTTGTGTACGGCAACATACAACCCTTCCACAGTCCTTGTGTACGGCAACATACAACCCTTCCACAGTCCTTGTGTACGGCAAACATACAACCCTTCCACAGTCCTTGTGTACGGCAACAGTACAACCCTTCCACAGTCCTTGTATACGTCAACATACAACCCTATCCACAGTCCTTGTATACGGCAACATGACAACCTTTCCACAGTCCTGTGTACGGCAACATAACAACCCTTCCACAGTCCTTGTGTACGGCAACATGAACCCTTCCACAGTCCTTGTGTACGTCAACATACAACTCTTCCACAGTATTGTGTACGGCTGACAACCCTCCACAGTCCTTGTATACGGCAAACATACAACCCTGATGGTATCACAGACCTTGTGTACGGCAACTACAATTCCACAGTCCTTGTGTACGGCACTAGTACAACCTTCCACTAGTATGTGTACGGCAACAGTACAACTGACTGACAGTCCTTGTATACGTGACAACATACAACTACTTCCACAGTCCTTGTGTACGGCAACATACAAACCCTTATCACAGTCTTGTGTACGGCAATCACACAACTCCTTCCACAGTCCTTGTGTACGGCAACATACAACCCTTCCACAGACTAGTATACGGGTAACATACAACCCTTCCACAGTCCTTGTGTACGGCAACATACAACCCTTCCACAGTCCTTGTGTACTAGGGCAACATGACTAATACTTCCACAGTCCTTGTGTACGGCAACATACAACCCTTCTACAGTCCTTGTATCACGGCAACTATACAACCCTCCACAGTCCCTGTCACACGGCAACATACATCACTTCCACAGTCCTAGTATACGTCAACATACAACCCTTCCACAGTCTGACTAGTCAACATACAACCCTTCCACAGTCCTTGTATACGGCAACATACAATCCCTTCTGACAGTATCACACTGACTGTATACGGCAACATACAGTATCTACGCTGACCTTGTATACGGCAACATGACAACCCTTCCACAGTCCTTGTGTATGGCAACTATACAACCCTTCCAGCAGTCCTATGTGTATGGCAACATACAATCCTTCCACAGTCCTTGTGTACGGCAACATACAACCCTTCTACAGTCCTTGTATACGGCAACATACAACCCTTCCACAGTCCTTGTGTACGGAAACATACAACCCTTCTACAGTCCCTTGTATACGGCAAACATACAACCCTTCCACAGTCCTTGTGTACGGCAACATACAACCCTTCCACAGTCCTTGTGTACAGGCAACAGTCAACCCTTCCATAGTCCTTCCAGTGAACGGCACATACAACCACTTCCAACAGTCTTGTGTACGGCAAATACAACCCTTCCACAGTCCTTGTGTAAGGCAACATACAATACTTCCACAGTCCTTGTGTACGTCAACATACAACCCTTCCCACAGTCCAAGTCTTGTGTACGGCAAACATACAACCCTATCCACAGTCCTTGTGTACGGCAACATACAATCCTTCCACAGTCCTTGTGTAATTCGGCAACATACAACCCTTTCCAAGTCCTTGTGTACGGCACCATACAACCCTTCCACAGTCCTTGTGTACGGCAATACATACAAACCCTTCCACAGTCCTTGTATACGGCAACATACAATACTTCCACAGTCCTTGTGTACGGCAACATACAACCCTTCCACAGTCCTTGTGTACGGCAACATACAAACCTTCCACAGTCCTTGTGTACGGCAACATACAACCCTTCCACAGTCCTTGTGTACGGCAACATACAACTTCCACAGTGGCTTGTATACGAGCAACATACAACCCTTCCACAGTCCTTGTGTACGGCAACTGTACAACCCTTCACAGTCCTTGTGTACGGCAACATACAAGCCCTTCCACATGTCCTTGTGTATGGCAACATACAAACCCTTCCAGGAGTCCTTGCTGTATGGCAACCCCTACAAATGTCCTCCTTCCACAGTCCTTGTGTACGGCAACATACAACCCTTCTCCTCAGTCCTTGTATACGGCAACATACAACCCAGCTCCACAGTCCTTGTAAATTTGTTGTTTTTCAGCTGAGAAAACAAGTCAGGAGTATTGCTGTGCATGCCACAGGTGGACTCAGTGTGTGCGGACGCCAGGGAGTGAGCCACCTACAGGAGCAGGGAGATGAGGATTCCCACAGATCCTGATTCTTTATTTGTGTTATAAGAATGATATGTGGCTGCCGCTGCAAGTCCAAGAGATATGTTTATAGCATTAAAGCTGACTGAATCAGCAGATATACTATTATATTAAGTATTGTGTCCGTGTAGCACGTGTCGGTATTTATTATCACAGTATCATGGTACTCCGCATGACAATGTTTTCATCTGACTTTCTCTTGTGTTCACAAGTGTCTGACACAGATCAGCCCCCCTGCTGCAGCCTCTCACCTTATGTCTTGCTATAAAGTTACAATGTACAGTCTGATCACTGGGGGAGGAGACTGAGGAAATTCCTCCTCTTCCTTCTACAAAGTTACAATGTTCAGTCTGATCACTGGGGAGGAGAGACTGAGAAAATGCCTCCTCCTCATTCTACAAAGTTACAATGTACAGTCTGATCACTGGAGGAGGAGAGACTGAGGAAATACCTCCTTCTCCTCCTACAAAGTTACAAGTACAGTCTGATCACTGGAGGAGGAGAGGACTGAGGAAATACCTCTCCTTCTCCTCCTACAAAGTTACAATGTACAGTCTGATCACTGGGGGAGGGGAGACTGAGGAAATGACTCCTCCTCCTTCTACAAAGTTACAATGTACAGTCTGATCACTGGGGGAGGAGACTGAGGAAATGACTCCTCCTCCTTCTACAAAAGTTACAATGTACAGTCTGATCACTGGGGGAGGAGACTGAGGAAATGACTCCTCCTTCTACAAAGTTACAGTGTACAGTCTGATCACTGGAGGAGGAGAGACTGAGGAAATACCTCCTTCTCCTCCTACAAAGTTACAATGTACAGTCTGATCACTGGGGGAGGGGCGTGACTGAGGAAATGGAACTCCTCCTCCTTCTACAAAGTTACAATGTACAGTGTCCTTGATCACTGGGGGAGGAGACTGAGGAAATGACTCCTCCTCTCCTTCTACAAAGTTACAATGTACAGTCTGATCACTGGGGGAGGAGACTGAGGAAATGACTCTGCTCCTTCTACAAAGTTACAGTGTACAGTCCTGATCACTGGGGGAGGGGAATCAGAGTGAGACATGGTTATAGTACATCCACTGGACCATTTGATGGTTTTGTGTACAGGCTGTTAGTAAAGAATGTATAAAATCAATGCAATGTGTATATATTTTCAGTAAGCTCCCGAGAACTGGGGAGGCGTGCCGTGCCGGGTACTGGTTACCACTAAGATCTTCTAAACGTGACAGAGAAGGCGCGTGGGAACTATTACCCGTACACAATCACAGGTGAGGAGTACATCCATCTTCTTCTGTGGCATTGGACACAAATATTGTTCACTTGCTTGTCAGTATCCTTAAACCTATTATTTCTGCTTTCGTTCTCTTCTTTTCCATGTTGTGCTCTGACTGATGGGGATCTGGGTGCAGAGTATAACGGTAAGCCCTCCTCTATTCTACCCTTCATTACCACCCCCCACTTCCCCCTTCGGATGTCTACATTGAGGGCTGCCATAGGGGTGTGTATTAGGGTGTCTGGGGTTACCCATAGCAGCCTTTTACTTCTCAACCTATTGCAATGGATGGAAACCTTTGAAAAATATTTTTCAGATCCCATAAAAATGATTATAATCTACAGCATTGTGAATGGTAAAAAATACAGGCAGAGAAAACTGTAATGGTACCCTTTAAAAAAGCAGTGGTCAACAGCACATCCCCCTGGTGGTCAGTGGGAAGAATGTCCCTTACATTTGGTGGTCCCTTACATTTTGGTGTTGGGTCAGTGGGAAGAATGTCCCTTACATTGGGGGGGTCAGTGGGTGATGAGAATTAATGGGGGGAGACATATCAGATTACATTGGTGATCAGTGGGAAGAATGTCCCTTAACATTGGGGTTCAGTGGGAAGAATGTCCCTTTACATTGGGGGTCAGTGAAGAAAAGAATGTCCCTTACATTGGTGATCAGTGGGAAAAATGTCCTTACATTGGGGGTCAGTGGGAAGAATGTCCCTTACATTGGGGGTCAGTGGGAAGAATGTCCCTTACATTGGGGGGTCAGTGGGAAGAATGTCCCTTACATTGGGGCGTCAGTGGGAAGAATGTCCCCTTACATTGGGGGTCAGTGGGAAGAATGTCCCTTACATTGGGGGTCAGTGGGAAGAAATGTCCCTTACATTGGGGGTCAGTGGGAAGAATGTCCCTTACATTGGTGATCAGTGGGAAAAATGTCCTTACATTGGGGGTCAGTGGGAAGAATGTCCCTTACATTGGGGGTCAGTGGGAAGAATGTCCCTTACATTGGGGTCAGTGGAAGAATGTCCCTTACATTGGGGGTCAGTGGGAAGAATGTCCCTTACATTGGTGGTCAGTGGGAGGAATGTCCCTTACATTGGGGTCAGTGGGAAGAATGTCCCTTACATTGGGGGTCAGTGGGGAAGAATGTCCCTTACATTGGGGGTCAGTGGGAAGAATGTCCCTTACATTGGAGGTCAGTGGGAAGAACTGCCCCTTACATTGGGGGTCAGTGGGAAGAATGCCCCCTTACATTGGGGGTCAGTGGGAAGAATGTCCCTTACATTGGTGGTCAGTGGAGGAATGTCCCTTACATTGGGGTCAGTGGGAAGAATGTCCCTTACATTGGGGGTCAGTGGGAAGAATGTCCCTTACATTGGGGGGGGGGGGGGGGGGGGGGGTCAGTGGGAAGAATGTCCCTTACATTGGGGGTCAGTGGGAAGAATGTCCCTTACATTGGGGGTCAGTGGGGGGGGAATGTCCCTTACATTGGGGGTCAGTGGGGGGAATGTCCCTTACATTGGGGGGGGGGAATCAGTGGGGGAATGTCCCTTACATTGGGGGTTATAGTATAAATAATGTCCCTCTAACAGATGGCTGTTACCAAAACTTTACTTAAAGCAGAACTCACAAAAACCTTTACTGAAATATATTCTTTTTGAAGCTACAAAGGATATAAATCAACTTGCTGCCAACCAAATATCTTACCAAAACTAGATATTACCATATAAAACTAGCAAGGACATCACTGTGCTGTACATAGTCTGTGCAGATAGCAGAACTTTGGGAGGGACCCAGCAGGCTCCACCCACTGCATAAAACTACAGGAGGGGGTGGAGCAAGACCAGTTCCCCTGCACAAGCAGTGAGAGCAGCAGTGAGCGGTCTCACACTGGATGACTGCACAGATCTGGAAAAAAAATACACAAATCTCCTGAGATTCTAGAAGAATACACAGGATGAATGGATATAGACAATGTTTACTTATCCCAGAGTAGCTTTAAATAAACGCAGATGCTGACACTAAGATAGACATGGGGATGAAGTCTCTGTTGCCAGGCAACGGCACAAAAATTGATATATTATATACTTTTTACATCTTGTGTTATGACGTCTTAGAAGGTCCTAAAAATAACATTTGACACGACCCCTCTAAATCTGGAGCACAAGGGGGAGAAGACGCAGCAGATATTACATATAAATCCACGGACAGATTTCACAGCGCTCAGATCATCGGTGGCGGGATGAAATAATCCACTGATCTCAAGAGGGGTCTTAGAGAGTATTTAATGAAAAACGCGGAATCACAAGACATTTTGAGGTGAAGAATAACAGCGAGAGGCAGCGAGTCCTAAAAATAAACTATATCAAATTTTTTTTTTTTTTCAAGAATTGATTGAGGTTCTTCAATTCCAGAGAACTGCACAAAGGAATCTGTCACTTATCAAGCAAGACGGCAGTGTTGGCTGAAACAATTCACTGCAGCAGTGGAATATTAGACGTCTTTGTTACCTGTGGACAAAACCAGCCCAGCAAACTGCCAGCTTCAGAAGACTCAGTGATAGCACAGGGTTGGGTTTAGGATGTGCCGTGTCAGTGTTGACCTGAGCCCCCTGAAATGTCACCTCTGCACCCTAGTGGACGATAGGCACGTCTCCCTCCACCTCCCACAATGCATTGCTTATGGCCTAAATGACCTAAATGCTATGCCACCTGGGGGGGGGGGACCTTAGGGTATGGAAAATCTAATTTTGATAATATTGATCTGTACATTGGAAGAACTGTGAGAGGTGATGGAGGAGCAAATCTGAAACAAAAAGGATGCTGGCTTGCTTGATTACTTATTTCACCCAAGTAAAACCTGTGATTTGCATGCAGGGAAAAGCAGCAGGATGACATTATTTTCCTGTCTACTCACCTTTCATTCACTCTCTGATGCTTTGAAAACAGAAGGAGCTGCCCTGTGTAAGCTGAAAGTCACTCATGTCATAACTTACACAGGAGGCTACGGCCTTCCTGCCCTGTGATTGGCTCAGTGTTTGTCACATGGGGGTTTATTTACTAAAGCTGGAGAGTCCAAAATCAGACTCCCTTCTGCATAGAAACCAATCAGCTTCCAGGTTTCATTGCCAAAGCTTCATTGAACAAGCTGAGGTTTAGAAGCTGATTGGTTTCTATGCAGAAGGGAGTCTGATTTTGGACTCTCCAGCTTTAGTAAATAAACCCCATGGAGTCATCGGCTCCTCCAGAACTGGACTGATGGCTAGTTTTTGCATTCTTAGCAGCTGAATGGGCATGGTGGGGAGCAAAGGGACCTGCGTTAAAAAGCACAAAGTTTCTTTATGTCCTGGGTCAGATAGATAGATAGATCGATAGATAGATAGATAGATAGATGATATAGATAGATAGATAATAGATAGATAGATAGATAGATGATAGATAGATAGATTAATAGATAGATAGATAGATAGATAGATAGATAGATAGATAATAGATAGATAGATGATAGATAGATAGATAGATAGATTGATTGATAGATAGATAGATAGATAGATAGATAGATAGATAGATAGATAGATAGATAGATGATAGATAGATAGATAGATAGATAATAAATAGATAGATAGATAATAGATAGATAGATAATAGATAGATAGATAGATAAAAGATAGATAGATAGATAATAGATGATAGATAGATAGATAATAGATAGATAGATAATAGATAGATAGATAGATAATAGATAATAGATAGATAGATAGATAGATAGATAATAGATAGATAGATAGATAGATTAATAGATAGATAGATAGATAGATAGATAGATAGATAGATAGATGATAGATAGATAGATAATAGATAGATAGATAGATAGATAGATAGATAGATAGATAATAGATAGATAGATAGATAGATAGATAGATAGATAGATAGATAGATAATAGATAAGATAATAGATAGATAGATAGATAGATAGATAGATAGATAGATAATAGATAGATAGATAGATAATAGATAGATAGATTAATAGATAGATAGATAGATAGATAGATAGATAGATAGATAGATGATAGATAGATAGATAATAGATAGATAGATAGATAGATAGATAGATAGATAGATAGATAATAGATAGATAGATAATAGATAGATAGATAGATAGATAGATAGATAGATAGATAGATAGATAGATAGATAGATAATAGATAGATAGATAATAGATAGATAGATAATAGATAGATAGATAGATAGATAGATAGATAATAGATAGATAGATAGATAGATAGATAGATAGATAGATAGATAGATAGATAGATAATAGATAGATAATAGATAGATAGATAGATAATAGATAGATAATAGATAGATAGATAGATAGATAGATAGATAGATAGATAGATAGATAGATAGATAGATAGATTAGATAGATAGATAATAGATAATAGATAGATAGATAGATAATAGATAGATAGATAATAGATAGATAGATAGATAGATAGATAGATAGATAGATAATAGATAGATAGATAATAGATAATAGATAGATAGATAATAGATAGATAGATAGATAATAGATAGATAGATAATAGATAGATAGATAGATAGATAGATAGATAATAGATAGATAATAGATAGATAGATAGATAGATAGATAGATAGATAGATAGATAGATAGATAGATAATAGATAGATAGATAATAGATAATAGATAGATAATAGATAATAGATAATAGATAGATAGATAGATAGATAATAGATAGATAGATAGATAGATAATAGATAGATAGATAGATAGATAGATAGATAGATAGATAGATAGATAGATAGATAGATAGATAGATAATAGAGTAGATGGATAGATACACAGTGAAGATTGTCCGTCACATGGGGTTGTCTGCGGGTTTGAGATGGGGAATGGTGATTCTCAGGGATTTTTTGGATGGCAGCCATTGTTCTGTGCAGTCTGAGGAGGGATGACAGTGAATGGTGAGGCCATGAAATGGGGGGAGGAGTGATTTTGCCACTTCCATTTCCAATGGATAAAAGTTAATTACCACCTCCTGGAAGTTCTAACAGCCAAGATAATTAATCTGAATGACCCTTTAATGATGCCACATGGCTGGGTAATGTTCCTGGTCAGGTATATAAATGTCTTTGGTGGAAGTAATTGATTTCCAGACCCAAATGCCGGAGCCGGAGCGCACCACATGGCGTGATGGCCAATTAATACCTTAAAGCAGAACTCCAGCTATAAATGAACATTCACTTCCAGGAGCTCTAAGCATACGTGTGTACATTGATTTACACATGTAAAAGATTTACAACAGATGCATTTATATTTCTGTTAGTGAAAAGATACATTACCTGAAAGATCAACTGAACGAAGTACAATGAGTGCTGACTGTGCCCTGTAAGCCTCCTTTACCCCAGTATACTGGAGGGGGGGGGGGGGGGCACCGTGCAATGGTCTGCCCATGTACATTAATCTTAGAGGTCTCCTTTCCTGTGCAGACCCCACACCCTCCTACCTAATATAGGGATTCTAGGAAGACACCTGTGTAATAATCTGTTTTTTTTTATTCTTTACAGTGTTCATTTCTTCCGAAATTCTCCATCCATATAGAGACAAAATATGAAGATAATCAAGGATCCAACGACAGTGTGAGTTTTCTGACTCTTCTGTATCTCTGACATATACCACGGTGCTGTACAGAGAACATTGAGCCAGTCACATCATTCTCTGTACCAGAGGAGCTTACACTCTAATGTCCCCACCCCCCACAGTCACATCATTCTCTGTACCAGAGGAGCTTACACTCTAATGTCCCCTCCCCCACAGTCACATCATTCTCTGTACCAGAGGAGCTTACACTCTAATGTCCTCACCCCCACAGTCACATCAGTCTGTGTACCAGAGGAGCTTACACTCTAATGTCCCCTCCCCCACAGTCCCATCAGTCTCTGTAACAGAGGAGCTTACACTCTAATGCCCCCTTCCCCACAGTCACATCATTCTCTGTACCAGAGGAGCTTACACTCTAATGTCCCCTCCCCCACAGTCACATCATTCTCTGTACCAGAGGAGCTTACACTCTAATGTCCCCACCCCCCACAGTCACATCAGTCTGTGTACCAGAGGAGCTTACACTCTAATGTCCCCTCCCCCACACAGTCCCATCAGTCTCTGTAACAGAGGAGCTTACGCTCTAATGCCCCCTTCCCCACAGTCACATCATTCTCTGTACCAGAGGAGCTTACACTCTAATGTCCCCTCCCCCACAGTCACATCGGTCTCTGTACCAGAGGAGCTTACACTCTAATGTCCCCTCCCCCACAGTCAGATCAGTCTCTGTACCAGAGGAGCTTACACTCTAATGTCCCCTCCCCCCACAGTCACATCAGTCTCTGTACCAGAGGAGCTTACACTCCAATGTCCCCTCCCCCACAGTCACATCAGTCTCTGTACCAGAGGAGCTTACACTCTAATGTCCCCTCCCCCACAGTCACATCAGTCTCTGTACCAGAGGAGCTTACACTCTAATGTCCCCTCCCCCACAGTGACATCAGTCTCTGTACCAGAGGAGCTTACACTCTAATGTCCCCTCCCCCACAGTCGCACACTACTATTATTATACCTGTATATAGCTCTGACATATACAGCGGTGCTGTACAGAGATCACTGGGCCAATCTCTGTATCAGGAACTATTTTATCACTTCTATTACATTCGCTGTGAATGTGTAATGTGGAGGGCCATATCCAGTGTATATATGAGGAGATCACACGTATCCGTCCCCCTTCTGTGGAGTTTAATTGAATTAACCATTGCAGTGCCGCATCCCTCAGTGCCATTGTCCGGGCACAGCACAATGAAGAGCCCTGAGCCCTGTGTGTACAGCCAGGGGTAAGGTCTTTGCTCATCAGCCCTCTATAATACCAGCTGACAGTGTCATGAATAGCCATGTCCTTCCCTCTGCTTCATAAACATGTGAGCTCTGCAAATGTACCAAGAGAGAGCCAGAGTACGGGATGAAAACTCTGCCACCTTCTGACCAGGGATGGAACTGTAGGAGAAAACGGCCCATTTGTCACATAGGAATCAGGTTCACAGTGTTGCAAAGATTACTGAAACAATGTAGATGTCACATTGCAACTATGAAATTTAATTGAAGTAAAAGGGGGAAAAAATGAACCGGAAAACATGAAAAATACACCCGGAACGTGTCAAATACGCATCAAAAATGTACCAGAACACGCCAAAAACATGTCAAAAACGCACATACAGAAAGGCATCCGGAACACGTTTCTATAGTGTGAACCTGTCCTAAAAAGCCATCCTTGAGCTGCAGACAGCGGCTTTCTCTAGGCTGAGATGATGTCAGGTTATAACATCTCAAAGCCCAAAAATGTCAGTATTGCTGCACGTATTGCAGCGTATCGCAGTGCACAATGAAGAAGTTGGAATATTATAACCCCAAGCATTCATGTCAAAGACAGTAATAATACCCCTCCAGCACTGGTGTCAGTGAGTGCTATAATGACACCCAGTTTTGGTGTCAGTGAGTGCAATAATAACCCCCAACATTGGTGTCAGTGAGTGGAATAATAATCCCAGCATTGGTGTCAGTAATTGCAAAAATAACACTTAATATTGGTGTCAATGAATGCAATAATAACCCCCAGCATTGGTGTCAGTGAATGCAATATTAGCACCCAGCATTGGTGTCAGTGTGTTCATTAATAACCCCTAATAAAGGAGTCAGTGGATGCAATAATAAAACTCATCATTGGTATAAGTGAATGGAATAATAACTCCCAACATTGATGTAATTGAGTGGAATAATAACCCCCAGCATTGGTGTCAGTGAGTGGAATAATAACCCCCAGCATTGGTGTCAGTGAGTGGAATAATAACCCCCAGCATTGGTGTCAGTAAGTGGAATAAAACCCCCAGCACTGGTGTCACTGAGTGCAATAATAACCCCCAGCAATGGTGTCAGTTTCTATAATAATAAACCCAAAATTGATGCCAGTTTTTACAATAATAACCCCCAGCATTGTTGTCAGTTTCTGCAATAATAACCCCCAACATTGTTGTCAGTTTCTGCAAAAACAACCCCCAGCATTGGTGCCAGTTTCTGCAATAACAACCCCCAGCATTGGTGCCAGTTTCTGCAATAACAACCCCCAGCATTGCATTTGTGGGCCTCTTCTTCAGCTCCATGTGATTGGGACATTTCCCTTGTGCAGCATACTCAGCAATATTCCCAGCCACTTTCCTACAGGGCCGATTAGAATGTAAGCTCTTCAGTCCTCCCCGCCATAGCAGCCTAATTGCTGTGTTGTGCTTTGTTTTTTGCAGATATTTGATCACGAAGTGAAGGACCTGGAGAGGGAAGTGTGTTTTGTCGACATCGCTTATGATGATATCCCTGAGAGGTATTATAAGGAGTCTGAGGTAAGGGGCACCTCAGGGTCCGAAATCTGGAAACGAACAAGTACACAACGGTTCTGTGTGATTTGTTACCATGTGACCCCCCCCATAGATGTCCAAAATGTTGGATTTGGTCTAATAGGAAGTATTGGATTCAGTTTTAGCCACTTGCAAAGGTGCAGAAATATTCTATGGAAGGAGGCTGATCCTCCCTGAACCCCGGGTAACAGTTTATAGTCTATGGAGGGAGGCTGATCCTCCCTGAACCCCCACGGGTAACAGTTTATAGTCTATGGAGGGAGGTGTGATCTGCCCTGAACCCCGAGTAACAGTTTATAGTCTATGGAGGGAGGCTGATCCGCCCTGAACCCGGGGTAACGGTTTATAGTCTATGGAGGGAGGCTGATCCGCCCTGAACCCGGTGTAAAATTTATAGTCTATGGAGGAAGGCTGATCCGCCCTGAACCCGGGGTAACGGTTTATAGTTACTATGGAGGGAGGCTGATCCTCCCCTGAACCCCGGGTAACAGTTTGGATAGTCTATGGAGGGAGGCTGATCTGCCCTGAACCCCGAGTAACAGTTTATATAGTCTATGGAGGGAGGCTGATCCGCCCTGAACCCGGGGTAACGGTTTATAGTCTATGGAGGGAGGCTGATCCGCCCTGAACCCGGGGTAACAGTTTATAGTCTATGGAGGGAGGCTGATCCGCCCTGAACCCCCGTAACAGTTTATAGTCTATGGAGGGCGGCTGATCTGCCCTGAACCCCGAGTAACAGTTTATAGTCTATGGAGGGAGGCTGATCCGCCCTGAACCCGGGGTAACGGTTTATAGTCTATGGAGGGAGTCTGATCCGCCCTGAACCCGGTGTGTAACAGTTTATAGTCTATGGAGGAAGGCTGATCCGCCCTGAACCCCGGGTAACAGTTTTATAGTCTATGGAGGGAGTCTGATCCACCTGAACCCGGGGTAACTGTTTATAGTCTATGGAGGGAGGCTGATCCACCCTGAACCCGGGGGTAACTGTTTATAGTCTATGGAGGGAGGCTGATCCGCCCTGAACCCCGGGTAATGGTTTATAGTCTATGGAGGGCGGCTGATCCACCCTGAACCGGGGTAACGGTTTATAGTCTATGGAGGGAGGCTGATCCGCCTGAACCCGGGTAACGGTTTATAGTCTATGGAGGGAGGCTGATCCGCCCTGAACCCTGGGTAACGGTTTATAGTCTATGGAGGGAGGCTGATCCACCCTGAACCCGGGGTAACTGTTTATAGTCTATGGAGGGAGGCTGATCTGCCCCTGAACCCGGGGTAACTGTTTATAGTCTATGGAGGGAGGCTGATCTGCCCTGAACCCCGGGGTAACTGTTTATAGTCTATGGAGGGAGGCTGATCCGCCCTGAACCCCGGGTAACGGTTTATAGTCTATGGAGGGGGGCTGATCTGCCCTGAACCCGGGGTAACTGTTTATAGTCTATGGAGGGAGGCTGATCCGCCCTGAACTCCGGGTAACGGTTTATAGTCTATGGAGGGAGGCTGATCCGCCCTGAACTCCGGGTAACGGTTTATAGTCTATGGAGGGGGGCTGATCCGCCCTGAACCCGGGGTAACTGTTTATAGTCTATGGAGGGGGGCTGATCCGCCCTGAACCCGGGGTAACTGTTTATAGTCTATGGAGGGAGGGCTGATCCGCCCTGGACCCGGGGTAACTGTTTATAGTCTATGCATATCATTGGTCTAAACAGGGGCGTATTTACCACAAGGCAAACAAGGCATTTGCTTAGGGCAGCATCTTTCAGGGGGGCAGCAGCATTTTTCATGGGGGCAGCGCCACCCCCCTAAAGACAGGATAGATGAAAAGACACACACACAGCATGGGGACCAGGTGGGATCTGAGAGAGGCTGTGGGCTGCATGATGGTGTATGCAGAGCCTGACTCTTGTTCCCGGGGATGTCCGGAGCTGTGAAGGTGAGTGTCTTCTCTCTCGCCAGGGTGGGGGGGGGGGTTGCCAGTGTATGGGGGGGGGGTGGTAGTGGAAGGCTCTCTTGGTTAGGGAAGCTGGGGTGTTGTTGGTCATTGTCAGGCTCTCTTTGTTTTTTTTTTTTCATTCCTTTTCCTTCCTATCTCCTCTTTTCTCTCTCTTTGGGGGAGGGGGGTGTTGGTCGGTGTCAGGGTCTCTCCATGGAGGGGGGGAGCCGATTTTTGTGTTGCTAAGGGCAACACAAAACCTAAATACACCACTGGATCTGCTGCTGTGTGTGTCAATGCCCCCCCAGTTTGGAGGGAAGAAGAGATTCTGAATTTCTTACAATCCTCACTGCTGATTGTAGTAAATTTGTCTTTTTACCCAGCACATCATTCAGCGGGATCCAAGGAGTAGGCTATACACACGACTGTGGGGTGGATTTACTAAAGGCAAATGGACTGTGCACTTTGTGAAGGGCAGTTGCACTCAGTAAACGCGGGAAAGCTCTGCTGACTCCCGTCATCCAATCACATACAAGCAGAGATGCAGTTTTTGTGATTTTCCCAGCACGTGATTGGGTGTTCTTTGCAAAGTGAAGCTTCACCTCATTTAGTCAGCTCTGGAGCAACTGCACAGTGCAAGGTCTATTTGCCTTTAGTAAATCTGCCCCTGTCTGTTCGATAGGGATAGTTACAGGATGGCACAAAGTCAGATGTTCTGTGTTGGGATTTCCGTACACGGGGAGCACATGTGTTGTATAATGGAGGGACCCGGCCGAGCGCACGTAATCGGGTTATCCTTTCCATGAACGGTGACTGAGCTCAAAAGGTGAAACCCATCTGCTGTAAATGCAATGAATTACACACCATCGGAGAGGCAGCCAGGGGCAGACGTACACAGAAGGGTGCACAGTTCTTGGATGGGGACCATGAATGGCCGGGTGATGGGGAGGGGACAGTGGCGGGACAGAGCAGAAGCCATGCTGCGTGTGCAGTCGTATTCATTCCTTTACATGTGTTTATATACAGTGTTGCTCTTGTGGCGGTTGTGTATATGCAGTGCAGTGATCAGGTATGGTGGGTTGGCTGCTGAGATAAAAGCAATTACACTAGACATTGTACTGTTCTCCATCAGTCAGACCGGACTCCTGAGGCTCCGTGTAGTAAAGGTGAATGTCCTTCAACAAACCAACATTTGCAAAAATGTATTTGCTGATAAGATCGTTTCCATTGAAAACGCCCGTCCATGTGCAGGTGTGTGAGCATTCGTCTGGGACAGTGAATCATGATTGGGGACCAGGATTGAACGCTGCAGAGACAGACTGTGTCAAGGGGCAAACCCCTTGTACCCTACAGGAGATTCTTCTCCTTCATTGTTGGAGTTCAGGGACAGATGGTGCGTGCATCCACCACATGCTGCTATGTGTCAACTGTGTCCGAATAGTTGTGGCTTTGGACACATTTCAAGGTCCTTTTATAGTGACAGGTTCCCTTTAAAGCCCATCACACCTATTAATAGGACACTGCATCCCCACCCTACCCCTCTACATCCTCCTCCATCCTCACCGCTGGTTTACTCTGAATGACACCCAGCAACATTCAAGCTACTTCCTGTGAGACAAGGAGTGTCATGGACCCACCCCCTGTGGGTGTGTCATCATGGCCACCTGGGTTCACAGGAAACTGCTAGAGAACTGCCCACCACCAATGCAGGGAGGAGAGGACTCGTCATGTGACCAGCTAGAAGAAAGACACCTAGAAATGGGGTATAAAATTATATTATGTTATGGAAGTAAATAAAACCTCATTAAATAATAATAACGCTTAAATATATAATTAATATTCATAATATTTTCTTAAAATATACTATAAGCAAAGCGTTTTCCCATTTTGGATGGAGTAAGGCAGGGGTATAACCCCTGTCACATTTTTCTTTTCACCACCTGTGTGCCATTGCAGAGATTTCCTTTCATTTCCTGTCCCATAGCCAAACAGGAAGTGAGAGGAAATCCTTGCAAATGTAGGGTATTCCTTATGAACATCCAGGTCACCAGAACTAGTTTCCCCATTGGAAAATTTCCCATGTATTTTCAGAGGACAACTCAAAATTTGGGAATTTCTGTTACTTTCACTTTCAATGGTAATAGTAAACAGGACGCACGGACGGGGGGGGACTTCCTTAATGGGGTCACAGACCGCAATAAAAAACTGACAAGAATTCTAATCCTCCTGCACTCTATTCAAAGCTAAAAAAATAGAAATAAAAAGTTTTGCCCTCAGTTATAGTTTAATATTAAATACATAAGTAATACTTATTTAAATAATACTCATTAATTAAATTTAATATTATTCCTGAAAAATGAATGATAGTATTAATATTAGTAATAGTGATGATGATAATAATATTATTCATTTAAATTATACACAATACTCATTATTTAAAATGAATATCATTCCTTAAAAATTAACGATAGTATTATTAGTATTAGTGATGATAAGGACAATAATATTCATTTAAATTAAACATAATATCCATTATTTAAAATGAATATTATTCCTGAAAAATGAATGATAATATTAATATTAGTAATAGCGATGATGATGATAATATAATTTATTTAAATTAAACATAATATCCATTATTTAAAATGAATATTATTCCTGAAAAATGAATGATAATATTAAAATATTAGTAATAGCGATGATGATGATAATATAATTTATTTAAATTATACATAATATTCATTATTTAAAATGAATATTATTCCTGAATAATTAATGATAATATTAATATTAGTAATAGCGATGATGATGATAATATAATTTATTTAAATTATAATAATATTCATTATTATTCCTGAATAATTAATGATTGTTTTAATATTAGTAATAATGTGATAATGCTAATAATATTATTCATACATAATGTTGATTATATAAAATGAATATTATTCCTTAAAAATTAACGATAGTATTAATATTAGTGATGATTATGATGGTGATAATATTTATTTATTTAAATTATACATAATATTTATTTATTTATGAATATTATTCA